AACCAAGATACATCATGTACAGGTACAAGCACCCAATGATAAATGTAAATGTATTACCTAAAGTGTACCAATAAAAGAATTTAAGGGGAAAAAAAGAGTAAAGAAAACTTTTGAGTACTGATTTATGAGTCAAAAACTTATACATAATATCTCAGAACTAGGAAGAAATTTGTGATTTAATTAGTCATGGCTGGCTCCAATATTTGAATATTTTCAATGCCTTCCTAGACAATGAGCGTTAGTTACATCATAACACACTTAAACCTCAGCTCCAAGTACAAGCATATATACAAGAAATCTTTTTGTTTTCTCTTTTTATCTCAATAAAAAGAAATTTAACTCCAAGGGTCATGTCTTCGGGGCTTGCAGGAAATTCTATAATATCGTTACTGAAGCCCTCTTCCTTTCTCAGGGTCCCATTAGAGTTGAACAGTTCAACCCTAACATTCCAATTTTTCAAGCCACCAGTGATCTCTGCAAAAGTGGTTCTCTTTCCTCCTGAGGTCAAAGTGGAACATAGTGGCAAGACTAGAAGCCTTTTGCTTGGGATCCAGCCTTCCTGGAGCCATCTTGTGCTTTGGAGATCAACCAGAGTACTATCATTGTGACCTAAAGAAGACTCTGTCATCCCTGTACCTGGGCGTCTCTGCTCTTGCTGCTTCTCAAAGAGAGTCTCTTGACCTTTTCACTGTGAGGCTAGTAGAGGGTGGAGCCATCATAAACATCAATATATTAAATTTTTGATATATTAAATAATGTATGTCTCTGAAAATCTGTCATGTTAGGTAACTCACTCACTTTAGGAATAATCTACTCTCTCAGTGATCGACTCTCAATTTTTAAAAGCTGAATCCCCATATCTTCAACCTATTGATTAAAACTGAATCCTAGGGAGCACACACAGCCTGTCTAAGCTAAGAATGATAAGGAACTTTAATCTGCATAGAAATGCCTGCAGAGAACACCATGAAGAAGGGGGTCAATTGAGAGGCTGTACCTGGTGCTCAAAGGGAACAAATGCCTTGATTAATTATTGACATATGATAGGGTATGTGGTAGTGCCATGGGGACTTGTCAAATCTGGGCTGATCCATCTTCTAAACAATAATCCTTCAAAGGTTTGAAGCCCCATGAGCTGTCAGTTCTCTTGGCCAACACCACCATCTCCTTCAGGCATTTACTTTACAACTCAACTTTAAGTTCACTCATAAATTGTTTTCTTTCTACTGAGCAAAGGCCACTCTGAGAGTATAGCATATACTTGCTCTTAAAGTATAGAGTCTAGAATTGATCATGAAAAACACACAGATGTCTATGTGGAAAGTGCTGGTCAATTAATCTTCATCTCTAAAGATTATCTACCAACTGGAAAAAGTCTATAGAAAATTTTTGATTTGGATATAATGAAAAACTTGTTAATTTACTTTTACTTCTGCAAGCTTCAAGTCTCTATTTCTTCAAACTGCCAATCTCTTCCTTCTTTCTGCTACCTCTTTTTTTTCTTTCTTCACTGTGTTAGTAACTAAACTTTCAACTGAAAGTGACAGCTCTTCTAACCCATTGAGTAAGGGCCAGGTGCTCTTTTCATATTCTCACTACCTCAGTGATGTCTCCGGCAAAGCATTTCTCACCTGCTGTTCTTATTCTCTACTGAGCTCACCATATCTCCTAGTTGACTCCTGATGCCTGAGACACCAAAGGTAAGTTGACATTGTAACACAATCCCTGGATCTAACTGGTGTGCTGCCATTGCTACCCAAAGAAGACTCCTGCCAACCTCTGTCATCCTGAGGCCTCTCTGCACTTGCTACTTCTCAGCAAGAGCATTTCTCTTGCCCTTTTCATCATGAGGCTAGAGGTGGGAAACTGGAGACATTTTCTACCCAGGAAGGGTGCAAAAATATGTGCTGATGGAAATCAGTAGTAATGTGTGATAAAACAGTGAGGAACAACCTGGGAATGTCTCCAGGTCCTCACTGAAAGTGTAAGAGTGGGTAGGCACATGTCCCCAGGGATTCTTCTTTTACTTAGTCATTCATCATTTGTTTCATGTGAAAAGAGCTCTGCCCAAGTCATCCCATACAAAAACAGTAGCATTATATGTCTAACAATAGAGCAATGGACCTACTAGGAGAAATACACAAAGTCTCCAATTCAATCTCCAGTCATCTGTTAGAGAATTTCACTGCTTAAACCCTTTAGACTGGAATTTCTGTGATGGCCTAGGGATTTACAGTAATGAAATTGTAGTAGAAGGTAAAATAGCAGGGGAGAGGGAGGTTTTCAAAGGGTAGCTTTCAGACCATGGGAACATGGACAAAGATGAGAACAAGGGGTACGGCTGAGCTTGTTCTGGAGTCTTCTCTGCTTCACTTCTGTGCCTTGTGAATAAGACAGGGCAGGGACCACTCTGATTAAGCAGGGCAGGAACTAACCCCCAGAAGTACTCTGAAAGATGCAGGGGTGGATAAGCATGGTGACAAAAGAAACTAGCACTCTACAAGCTATGATGAATTAATCCACTATAGGAAAAAAATTTTCAACTAATCTACTGCCAGGCTTTGTTTTCAGAGATGACACAATTGGCAATGCTTCAAAGGTAGAATAAGGTCAGATTTGGCAAAGGGGCATGTGCAGGCTCTCAGCCTTTTTATGCCTCCCCAGCCTTACCCAGGAAATGACCTTAAGGAGGCAAAATTTACTTGCTATAATTGGATATTTTTATCTTGATACCTAAACTATCACCAGTGGCTGTGTTAAAATAATATAAAATGAGTGTTGTTTTAAGAACAAAATACTGTTTATAAATTTCAATTGAGCCAATATCTTCTTTTTTAATTTCCTGAGATCTTCTTAGCAAAAAGCAAATTAAGCCTATTTGAGGAAGGCTCTAAATGACTGTTACTCAATTCTGTTGGGGGCTTTTACTCTTGGCTGTGGCTAGAAAAGAAGATTCACAGTGAAGGGGCCTATGGGGGTGACTACCATCTACCCCCATGTTTTCATAAATGGAAGCAGCCAGGCAAAGAGCACAGCTGTCACCATTTCCCAAACATGCATCAGGGGTGGGAGCTACTTGAGCAAGGGCCAATGTGTCAGGCAGGTTGCCTCACACAGCAGATCTAAAATTTTATTAGCAACAACTTGAACTGTTCAGGCAGGTTCAGCGCTTCATATGTATGTATAAAAATAGATCAGTTTTCTCATCTTGCATCTGCCCTGGCCATTTATCAGTTCTGAAAACTCACCTGTAACATGTCCCTTAATGTTTGAAATGGTCAGTGAACAAAAGCAGATCAGAACAGACCAGATAAGATGAGAGATTCACCTGGAACAGAAATCTGAAAACGTTTGTTTAATCTCCCTCCCTTGTGCATCTTCACATTGCAGATTCCAATTGGAATGGAAATGCCAGGTTGCTCAGAGAGAAGGTTGTCCTTGTAATGTGTCTTGGCCAATTGGAAATTGGCAGCATTCGTGCTCTCTTGAGAGCAACTTCTTGCCAAGCTTCTAGACATTTCCCAAGACGTAGAGGATTGGCCAATTGGACAACATTTTGCTCAGCACACAAACTTTTCATTGTGTCATCCAGACTTTTCAGAACTCTGAGTTTTAGCAAGTACAAAAAATAATGGAACATCACCCTGCCTTACACAGGGTCTTCCAAATGTCACCATCATGGTCTCCCTAAAAGAGTAAAAAAAATACAAATTCCCTCTAAGCTACAGTTAATTAAGAGAGACATTTAAATTACAAGGAAAAATAAAATACAGAAAAAGCTACTTTTTACAGATTAACTAAAAATTCAATTGTGGTCCTTATAAGAACTTAACCTTTTGTTCAGGATCAGTTATAACATCATTAACTTTATCCAAAGAAATATATTTATCCTGGACACAGAATAGAAAAGGTCAAGAACTAGATTTCAAAACTTTTGAAGAGAAAGGTATGTCTCTAAATTACTAGATGAATTCAACCTTTTGGAAAAACATTTTGTATTCATTAAGAACCTTTTTTACTGTGGGAGGGGAACCATTACTAAATTCTTGGTCTAGAACTGGTGGTAGAAATTATATGAATGCCACTTCACTTGAACCCTTCTAAAATTATGTTGTTGATTTGTCTGTAATTAAAAACACTCTTGAAAAATATTCTACATCCTGTGATGGGGGTCATTAGATAAATTAGACTAATTATGGTTTTACAAATCCAATTGTAAATTAAATAAAGTAACAACCAATCCAATCACAGCGGTTTGGAAGAGTTTGTCATTTAAAAACTTCACTTATCACCAAATAATATAATTAGGCAATTACCAAGTGACAACTGAGTGATGTTTACTCAGTCAAAGCAAAAGGGTAGAAGTTTTAAACTCCTAGAAAAATCACAAACAGACAGATCACAAATAACCAAAGAGAGTCTATCTTGCCTAATTTTGTCTGGCTTTCTGATCAACAACATCTTTAGGGCAGATGGTGCCTAGACCCACAATCAATACCTATTAGGCACAGTAAGCACAGAAACTAGGACCCATAGTACTTTTAGAGGGTCCATAAAAATGTTTTATTTTAAAAACAGAAGAAAAAACCCTCTTAGGTAAAAAAAAATAAATTTTAATATCCATTAATAATGTAGCCATCTTGATATCAAAGCGATGTTATAATTATTACCTTTTTTCATGGAAGATTCCATGAACCCAGAAACAACCAGGACCTACAAACTCATTATGCAATTCTATTTAAACCCTTCCCATAGAAATGTAGCAAGCAAACCTGACTGGGAGAGTGACAGGGACCGTCAAGAGGTAAGAAAAAAGACAGGAGAAAAGAAAGTAGATGGAAGAGAGATGTAGTATGTGGTACATGCATAGGACCCAGACACAATGATGACAAACCTTTTAGAGCTTTCAATAGCAGTCTTCTGTGGCACGTGTGCCATAGGTTCACCAACACTGATTGGTAAAGCCACCGGAATGCAAGAGTTCTATTTTACCAAGAGGGTGGCATCAGGGCAACAGTTTTACACTGTATGATGCCAATAGCTCTGTGTCCTTCACTAATGCATCTGCAAGTCAGGTATGGTACTTGATTTATAATAAACACTTAATATTTTAGAACATATAAATGATTCCAGGTATGGTATGGAAGCTACTGGGCAGAAATAAACAAATGTATCCCTGCCATGAAACTTTTTACCCCATTTCTGTAACTACTAGCACCAGCTGTAGTGATTCCTCCTTAGTTCTTTTGTCTGTCTCTACCAGTTCTTCCTGGCAGTGAGAGTAATGCACCCTGAGGCAGCCTGGATGGCCACCAGAGTGGGTCTTGGTCTTTCTTGGCTCCTTCACCTACCAGCACCATAACTTTTGAGAAATTTCATACTCTTTTAACCCTCAGTTACCTTATACGTAATATGGAGATATCAGCTTATACATCAGGTGTCAAGAGTATAAAAATGAGGTAACGTGTCCCTGCCAAACTCAATGACTGCTACATAGTTATGTTTATAGCAGCACAATTTATAATAGCTAAATCTTGAAAGAGGTCTATATGTCTATCAACAGATGAATGGGTAAAGAAAAGGTGGTATTTGCACACAATGGAGTACTATCTACCACAGAGATAAACAAACGAGTCATTTCTAGAAAAATAGATGCACCTTGAAACTACAATATTAAGTGAAATCAGACATACAACCTTAAAGATTGCATGGTTTCTCTTATATGTGAAACCCAAATTATAAAGAGCAAAATAAAAGATAATAGGAAATAAGAGATAGGTACTTCTTAAAGGGAAGAGGATCAAGAGATGAAGGGAAAGGGGAGTGTGGGGAGGGAAAATGGATTAAAAAAGAATTAAGATGTATTATGGACACGTACCAACTCCCCACAAAGAATGTAAACATTATGTGCTACAAGAGGTACTAATAAAGACAATGTTCTGAAAGAAACAATGCTCCTAAAACGCACCCCTAAATATTTTTTGTGAACTCATTTTCCACACAACTATTAACAAAAGATGTTGCTAAAATAAAGAGCACAGATAAACAGACAGCTGTTTGGTGACCCAAATGACAGTGAGCTGTATCTCATCACTGGAAATATAATGAGGTGGGGAGAGTATGGTTTGCAGGTGCGGAAGTTTTGACAAGACACTGGGAGTGAGAAGTAGGAAGACAAGGGAGGAGGTGAGGAGACCAAGAGGCCTGACCAGCTAACTCCACAGTCCCTTGTTAAACTGTCTGCAGATTTGAGGTCCAATACCTGATGAGGATAGCTATGAAGTGATTTGCAGGCAAGTGGCATAGACATCATGGACACACTCAAGAGTTGGATGATACCAGATCTGGGTAGGTCAGAGTAGGACACATGAGATGACATCACTCTACTGGGACAGCTCACAATTTAAAACTTACTGTTTATTTCAAGAGTTTTCCATTTAATATTTTGGTGACCACAGGTAATGATATTGACGAAATCAAAATTAGGTATAATAAGGGTCTATGGTACTTTCTAGTGGAAGGGGAGGCAATCATAAATGGATAAAGAGACATATGCAGAATGATATCAAGTGGAGGTGAGTGCAATGACTGGAAAGAATGCTAACTAAGAAAAGGGATAGGGTCTCAGAGAATGCTTTACACAGGGTGGGCACAGCTGGATTAGACAGGCAGGGCTTCTCTATGAATAAACAGCCTCTTCTTTCTTTCTCATCTCACTTTACATCTCTTCTATCGTATTCTGCAAGGACTAAAGGTGGACTAATTTTTTTACAACATCTGAGGTGGTTGGTCCCATCACAGTTGTAAGATGTTATCAGCTTCCAGTTTTGGATAGCAGGGGTACAATAAAGAGGTTAGTCATATGTGGTCTAGGATCAAGGAAAATGGCTCTTCTGAGCGCAGGATATGGCTGGAGTTGCCTGCCAGATATTGGGAGAAATTACATTACTGAGCCTGCAGTAAGATTCCCAATGAGCATCATTTCAACCTCCAGAACCTTTAGATAAACAGTAACAATTCAATGAAAAAAACACTTCAGTTTACATGAACATTTTTTGTGTTTATTAAGTTTACATGAACACTAATAGTGATGGTGGAAAGTTCAAGTGTTTTGTAGGAGAAATGTCAGTAAATTTTTTTGTTGTATTATGAAACCTCAAAATTTTTTTCTCCCATGTCTCAATATCTCATTGTGAATATCATCCAAATATTAAATATTCATCAGTTTAAGTGTAAAGTTTTCTCTAAAACTTTTATTGTTAGATTGTCTTTTTCATCTAAAATTTTGCTAGAAATTTTTCTAAAATGAGGAGAATGGAAAAGCCTTGCCAATACCAAGAGTTTTTTTCCGCACATTGCAAATACAAATGGTCTAATGTATTTAAAAGAATGTTGTACAGTTATAAAAAGAATACCTATTGGCTCCATTGGCCTTATATGGTCTAGCCCTACCTCCTATTTAAACAGGTACCATTTCTAACCATTACAATAAGCAAATGGAATAATGAGATTTTCAGGCTTTGTAAGTCACACTTCAGTTAATTTTAAATTTTTCCAGTTGGTGTATGGAATTATGGTAAATTTATTCATTTTAGAAAGTGTTCTGCACTTATTCTGTGCCCATTTGAACCTTTAAATTAAGCCAATTAAGTCCTATCTGCATGATTATTTCTGTTATAGACAAATGATTGAATTTTACCAATTTCTCCCCTAGTAGCAAAATCATACATGTGCCTATTACACTTAAAAGCATCCCTTTCTCTTTCCGTGTTACACTGTTAGTCTCCTCCTGGCCTTTCTCAAGTACTAGTAACAATCTCACTCCAAAATACAGATTAAGAAAACTTCATCATCATTTCCATAATATTTTTACTCTGGCAAGTTCATAAATACTTTTTCTTTCTTGTGGATATTCCAGATACTTAGCTAGTCATTTTCTAGTCATTTCCATAATACAGAACTTATACCTTAGAAGTCAATGCTTCTCTGACCATTCAGTCCATTTGCAGATAAGGACTTTTGGTTTCATATTTTGCTCACTATCTAACCAAGAACATGGATATTAACCTAATTTATATTATCCCTTTTCTGCCAGCATAGAATTCCAACAAACAGACATTATACATTAAGCAGTTTCATTCCATCAGATTCTGCCATTATTTTCTCAAGTCATTTAAGCCATTTGGCTTTCTCTAGCTGTCAGTCTCCTTAAATCCTTTCTCACTTTCATCTTTGTCCTTATGTTCTTTCATACATGGTCATATCTGACCTTTTTCTTGGTCTTTTTTACTTCCCTAGAGCAACTTCTAAAAAGTTCTCAATTCTCTATATTATTCTGTATTTGATAATGAGTCCCTGTGTTTAAAATAATCTACCCTGAGCACACACTAACTTCATCTCCAACCACCTTCTGAAAATCCATTTCTACTGGGACCTTCATTTTGCTTATTTTCCTGCCAGCTACATTCTTCAGGTCTCATTCCCATAAATGTCATCCAGGGAAAATCAAAGGGTCAGCACTTTAAGAGAAAGATGCTATCTGTTTCCATCACTTCTAAAGTACCATGCCTGGCCCTAAAAATCATATCATCCATCAAAATAATATTCCTTAACTCAGTGTCAAAGCCTGTTGCCCAAGCCAGATCTAGTTCTGCAAAGTCAGCTTCAATTGTTCCTTCTGGTATCTATTTCCAAGTCTTCTAGAAGTTCTAATGCCATGGACCACCAGAAGGTGAAAAGGAAGGAAACACATTTCTTATAATAAGAGGATAAGAAAAGCCATTGAACACATTGTGTGGCTCATTTTGTGCTAGCAGCAAAAGGACTGATTTTCTTAAGATATAGAAATGAAAAATGGGTGATTTAATATAAAATTCTGGAGTTTCACTGGTCTTATATCCCATTACTTTCATTTTCAGAGATACTTCTAAGGGAATTCACACAATAGTAACTATTTGTCATCAAGTTGGTCCTTTAAAAGCTCAAGTTATGCAAAAGATTATTTTGTCGGCACTTCATCTTTAAGAAGAGTAATTATTCTAGGCATTCTCCAAATGCCCAATCACTCTGTAATATGTATAGAAACAAAAAGTGGTATTTTTTTCATTTGCATATATTTTAATTTTTTCTCTATGTGTCTATACATCTATCCGAGGTGTGATTCACAATATAGTGAGTGTTTAAATTTTTTAAAATTTATTACAGAAAGGCCAATATTTTTATCCTTCTCAAGACACTCCCTCTCTCCTGAAATACACTTATGCCACCATTCTTGCCATTTCTGTAGCAATTCTGGAAGTCCTCTTTCATGAGTATCTTTAGTTGCACTATCCCTGCTGCCTCTATGTCCCGAATAGATTCAAAATGCTTACCTTCCATGGTCATTTTGTCTTTGGGGAAAGCCAGAAGTCACAGGGTGTCAGATCTGGTGAATAAGGAAGATAAAGACACACGGTAATATTTTTTATGAGCCTGTTTTTCCATTAGATGGTACTCAGCAATACAATACTTACTGTATTTTTTGTCATACCTCCTAAAGACTCTCAGGAAAGTGGACTTCCAGAACTGCTTTGGAAAGTTATAGAATGATAGCATAAGTGTGTTTGAAGGGAGGAGGATATTTTGAGACTGATTAATGACAATGTGTCTTTTATCATAATTTAATTTAAATATTCACCTTATATTTTGATATATATATATATCCTAGGTGTCATTCCTTCTACATCCAGAAAGAAAAAGGTCTCTACATTTTCCAGGGTTGTCTATACTATTTTGTTTTTATGGAAACATTAGAAGAGAGAGCCAATTATCCAAGGCTCCATTTAGTTTTGATTGCCTTCAAATACAAACTGCTGAGGTTTTATAGACTCATACTAAAGAAAGAAAAATACTTACCACCTAATTCCAGATATCTTGTAACTTATGAACCACTAGACATAAAATCATTGAGTCTCCAGGGAAAGAAAGAACCTAAAGTGGGACCAAGGAAATCAAATTGGTCAATAATGAAGAACAAAAATAAAAACTTTCATTCCTGAACAAGCTTTTTTTAAAAAAATTGTAATATTTGTTCTTTTTTATTTGTTTGCTTTAGATCTGTGTACATGTGCTCATAATCTTCCTTCTATCCCTCATTTCTAATAGTTTTCTATCCCAACTAACACTTAAGTTACATTATTAATCAAGCAATGACTAGAGTTGATAAAAAATTAAAAATAATTATGTGTTATTTACTCCCTTAAACATAAGTCACATACTCAAATGCCTTCCAGAGCTAAATGGACAGTTGCATTGCACAACTCCAAGGCATTGTTCATTCATGCTGCATTTCACATTATGGTACATTGGGAATAATAAATAAATAGAGCCAGAAAACCCAGTGATGCCATGGCAGGCAAAGTAAACATGTAAAGTAGCCTGGAAAGAAAAGTAAGAAATAGAGGGCCTGTTGCCAAACTGGAGGGCACAAGACATTGCCAAGAAAGCAAATGAGTATCTGCAAGGACGTTTTAGATAGCAGGATTCATTCTAGAAATAGATTAAGGAAGAAGTATTTGTCTATGGGCAATTAGATTGTGTCTCCTGTATTGTTAAAATTATTAGATTCTAGCATAGTTTCTGTTTTTTGGATTTTTAAATTCTCTCTCAATTACGCTATTTTAGAGAGAATTTTAAATTCTGAAGCCAGTACAACAGATGTCCATCCTGTCCCAAAAGCAGTTGAATCATTGTTTATATTGTTGATTATTACAGGAGTGTAATGACAATCCTTGTTTCTACAGACATAGAATTATTAGATCTAAATGCAGTTACTATTAGCATAAGATGATTATCACTTCCTTGTTTCTTCTTTTTCATCCCTGATTGTTGATTGCTCAATGATGTGCAATTTTTCTGTATACATGGGCAAAATAATCTGCAAAATAGCATGGCCCTTACCTACAAAAGTCTTACAGGGCCAGGATTTAGCTCAGTGGCACTATGCCTGCCTCACAAGAGCAAGGTCCTGAGTTCAATTCCCAGTACCAAAAAAAAAAAAGCTTACAGTTTAGATAAATAACAAATATGTACACAAAGAACTATAGTATAACTAACACAAGTTGATTTTAAGTGCACTAATAGATTCAAAAAAGAGAGAAATTTGAGTATATATAAAAGGTGTTGAAAATGGTCATGAAAATGTACCAAGACAAACTGATGAAAGAAACATTAGAAAATTTCATTGGTGAAGATACAGAGAACAGAAACACTGTGGCCCCTCTGAACCATGTAGCTGCATCACCTGTGGTCTGTGGAGAGTAGACAAGATGGAAAGATTTTTGAGAAAGTCAAGTTGATTGTAAGATTATGAGAAAAACAAGTTGAACAATTACCTTACTGGTTGCTACATCTTAAACAACTTTTCTTTCTCCAGATTACTCTCCTGCTACCCTAACCTTTATTTTTTTTATTTATGTACTAATTGGTACATTTTAGGTATACAATACATTTACATTTATCATTGGGTGCTTGTACCTGAACATGATGTATCTTAGTTCTTATTTTTCCCCCATTACCTATGCACCCTTCACCCCCACCACCCTTCCCTATTTACATAGACTTTGTTTCCTTTGTTTTTTTACCCTAACTTTTAAATAATATAGCCCAAACTTCAATCTTGGGAACTATAAATACAGACTGTGTAGCTTATAGAGAACAATTTATTTCTCACAATCACCAAGTCTTAAAGTCCAAAATCAAGGTACCAGCAGATTCAGCGTCAGGTGACAGCACTCTTTCTCTTTGTTGGTGCTTTTTTGCTGGGTAAAAGGGATAAGGGATCTCTGTAGACTCTCATGAGAGCGCTAATCCTATTCATGAGGGCTCTACCCTGATGACCAAATCACCTATCAAAAGCCCAACCTCCAAATATCATCACATTGGAGCACTGGAGGATTTTAACATCTGAATTTTGGAGGGGACACATTTAGTCTATAGCAAGTGCTAGAACTGAGTTCCTGATCTTCCCCTCCCCCACCCCAGTTTTCGTCATTTGAGTTGATTTTCTTCCAGATACTCAGGTTAAACCTCCTAGAGTCATCCTGGCCTCCTCTTTCTCTCACACCTTCAAACAGTTACTAGAAAATCATGTTGACTTTATCTTAAAAATGCTACTACAACTTGACCACTCTGGATTGAGACACCAGATCTCTTATAGGGCTTTCCTGGATATCCTCCTAACTGGTCCCCTGCTTCTCCTCTTCCACACAGCACCATTTTGCTCATAGGAGAGCCCAAAATCCTCGCAATGGCTTTACCAGCTCCCACTCACTCAGCTTCAGCAAAGGCCACCCTCTGTGTTTTTCTACTTTTCCCCGAAGCTGCTAACTCTGAGTGTCCAGGTATCTCCTTCATGTTCTTATGCTTTTTCTTGCACTCCCTCTTCCCAAGAAGTCCACACAACCTATCCCATTGAGAACTGCATTCTCCCACTGAGTCATATACATCCCCTTCCTCGATTTATTTTTTCCATAGACCTTACCACTACCTAACATGTATAAATTATCATGCTTCTTTTCTTCTCCCACTGTAAGATAAACACTGGGATGGCAGAGACCTTTGTAGATTTGCTCACTGATGTGTCCTCAGCATCTAAGACAGTGTCTCCAAGGTAAGAGGACCTCTTATCTCAATATGTGGTGCCTGAATGAATCTAAAGAATGGCCTTAAAAAAATAAGAACCAAGATACATCATGTACAGGTACAAGCACTCAATGCTAAATGTAAACATATTGTATACCTAAAATGTACCAATAAAAGAATTTAAGGAAAAATAAAAAGAATGGCCTTAAATGGTCACAGGTAATTAGATACCACTAATGATGCCTTGAATCTAAAAAAAGAGTACTGAACACCAAATCTCTGCCCAAGCCTTGCACTAAATCTCTGAGGTAGAAAGGGCATTGTTGAAGCAACTGTTGAAAATCAAAATCTTGGAAAAATTCCCATGACCATCACCATTCCATGATAATCACATTTCTTTATCTCTAACTGCATTCAGGTTGTCATTATGGAAAATATTAAAACTGTGGGGGGGGCAGAACTAAGTTAAAATCTTGGTTCTGATAGTGCATATCAATTGGGTGTATAAAATAGAGGTTATAACTGAAATTTTTATGGATTATAAGGATTAGTGATAATTACTAATTATAATATAAAGAATACAGCAGAAAACAGATGTTTATAAAATCTTCATCTGTTTGCCTTAATAATTAATTAGGAAAGACAGAGCACAGCCAGTCTCCTAAACTTGTCAGCTTATATTTGCATAATTTATTTTCTAAAATTCTTGCTAATGTTATAGGTAAAAATTACCAACCAACATTTAACTAACATGCTCAGCAATAAAAGGTGCTTCCTCTACAATGCCTTTTGTTCTGTACCATTAATTTTTCTATGATCCAGACTTTCAAGTTCTGTCCTATCTTCTGATTATTCCATCAACTTTCAATCTCTCTCAGTTTCCCTACCCCAGCAAAAACTTTTATTGAATTAAAAATACATATATTTCTTATTCTATACTCCCCCATAAAGTAAACTTTGAGAATTAAATTTAAAGTGAAAGAGATTGGACTAATTATATTGCACTTCAAATTTCCCATATAATTTCTGAAATAGACAAGGTAGACTATTTCAGTGATTCTCAAATATTTTGATCTCATGATCCCTTTATACTCTTAAAAAGTTTTGAGGCCTCTCAAAGAGTTTTTGTTAATGCGGGTTATAAGTATTTATAGTAAATAAATTAAAATAGAGTAAAATTGTAAACACAAGATTACCCAAGGACACACTTCATTAACTCTGGGGGCAATGACATCATCATACATCATATAGCATCTGGAAAACCATGCTGTATGATCTGATAGAATGGGAGCTTTAAAAAGAAATATCATCTTAGCATTGTTGTGAAAATAATTTACACCTAGCAAACCCTCCTAAAAGTTCTTAGGTGTTCCTGGTGGAAAAGAAAAGGACCTCATCCCCTCCTACTACCCAGAAGCATGTATGTCACTTCCATTCACAGTCCATGTGCAGGAGATGATCACACAGCCCCAACCCATGGCAAGGCAGCTGAAAAACTGGATGTCCACAGTCTCTGTCTACTTGAACACTTCTGATAAAAATACCCTTCCCCAAGTCTCACACTGGGAATCAAAACAGTCATGTTCCATTCTGTCTGCTGAACAGAGCCCAGAGTCACAGCATTCAGCCAGGTAGTGAGCAGCAGAGAAGTGGCAGACAAATTCAGAACAGAGACAAAGCTCACTAAGCAGAAAAAGGTGTGACTGGAGCCAGTAGCGATATCTCTACCATCTAGGACCTGCCTGGTCTAATAAGCACTTGCTGCCCAAGTGCCAGAGGCTACACTTTGGTCTCACTTGATCTTTTTAAACCTTATGCATTAGGCACCATTATACCAATTCTTAAACCCAGAAACTTGAAACACAGCAAGGTTTTAGTACCTTTTCCAGGGTCCTATGGGTTACCAAGGTGGGCCTGGGATTTGAGCCCAGATGGTTTGGACTCAGTACTACACTTTTAATGGCTCAGCCTCACACTGCTGCTTCTCTGAGATATCCTTTTCTTGAGAAAATCTTTCATCATTACAAAGGTGATTCAGAAGTTTCATTGGTTGACTTTTCCCCCAAACTGCATAAGAAATTGATGGCCTAACTGCCACAATCTGACAGTATCAAATGTCACCTGGTGAATCAACCTGGCTGCCTTTGCCAAATTGAATTCCCTATGCCTTCACCGTTTCCGTGGAGAGGTCAAGGCATGGAATATAAAGAGCATAGTGAGCTAGACCCCAGACCCCTCTCTGCACGGGAGTCATGGCATTGCTCTTCACTTCCTCCCTTGTTTGTATGGGTGAGTACACATGAGAAGTGCAAATGTGGGAGGCAGACAGACCCTGACATACTATGACCAGTAT